TATATTATATAAATATTGTAATTAGAGCCTCACCGTTAATATTTAAAAAAAAAAAAAAAAATATTGTAATTAGAATGTGGTAACCTAGTAAAGTAGATAGGTTGTCAACCCTCAAGTAGCAGATCTAAGATTCACTTTTTACAGATGATGAATTTTGGAAATTATATCTGTGTTACAGTAACTGTCTCTTGCTGATCAGTTGGGTTTTGGGCATCTGTAATTTTAGATACACCAAGTTGGGTCTTACTTGACATTGGAAGCTCAGAGCATTTATATGAAGTGTAATATTACATGTATATAGAGGAATGTAAAAAACCAGTATTATATAAGACTTTGGTGCAAACTCATAATAAGACCACTAGGTATAGAAGGCTAAAAAACTGAGAAGCCAAAAATCTATTTAGAAATTCTAAGTAAAGAGATAGCATAAACTTTTGATAATACCATTGGACTGATAAAAGCCTATTAAACACTTTCATAGAAACTGTCAAATAAACTGAATAACAAGATGTATAGAGAAGCACATAACCAATCAAGCTGCCAGAATTACTAAAAGAAAAAAATACATAAATAGTTCTGAGTTGCAGCTAGTAGGAAATAATAGAGAAAAAGTTGGAAAGATAGGTATCAGGATTTGGATAAACTTTACAAAAGTAATAGTAGTTTAATGAGTAACCCTAACTACAAATGTTAGTCTTGGCCATAATACCAAACCAGGTTAGCAGTAAAAGGAAATATAGCTTACTCTGATAGGTTTGCTTTGAAGATAAAAATAGTCTAAGAATTATAATTTTATGATTAAATATAAATAAATCTGGATTTGTAATTCAGTGAAATTAATATTAAAGTCAGATAAGAAGGTTTAAATAGAACATTTAAATAAGGGTATTAGGTACAGCAACTGGTAAGGAACCTCTATGCAGACTTCTTAAATAGGTAATATAGAAAAGTTACATATATAACTAGTTATATACTAATCTGATAGTTCATTATAGATCCATCTATATAAAACATATACCTGATATAAGTATTAATAAAAAGGTAGAACCAAAGATATTATCTTAATACTGAAAATATATATATATATATATATATTATAGTTATTTTAGCAATTTTTTTAAAATGAAAATAGCAATTCTAGTATAATAGTTGAGTTGTTATTCTTTAAATATTAGGTTCAGAGTTCAAATTCTACTAGCAGTAGAATTGTAAAAAATAATTCTATTTTAGCAACTTGAACAAGGTATCTGAAATTGTAACCTAGTAATTCTGATTATACTAAAACTAACTTTGAGAGTATGCAATATCATATAAATAAATTCAGAAAATATATATTTTATAAGAAGCTCTGTTTAGAAATTTTAAGTAAAAAGATAGTACAATTTTTAATAATACTATCTGTAAAAATCTTAATTTAGAGAAAAAAATCAAAAGCAGGTAACTTATATAGACAAAAACTTCTAAGTAAAAGAGATACACCAACTTGGCTACTAGTTGATCTAAACAAAAAATTGCATTATGCAAAGCTTACTGAATTGGAAATATAGAAGAACTTATAAAAATAAACAAGATATTAGTGAAGTTGTAAAAATAAATACTGGAATTATATGAACTCTACAAAGATATAATAGTTTAATAGTTAGCTCTAACTATAAGTATTAGTTTAGCTATAATAAGTTTAGATCAGTTATAAATAGAAATACAGAATGTTTCAGAAGGTTTATTTTAAAGATAAATTAGTTCTAAAATTGAGATAAGTATCTGAAATAACTTAGTGAAGTTGATACCAGTTATAGATTTAAAGAATTTAAATAAAACATCCAGACAGAGGTGTTAAATATAACAACTAGTAAGAAACTCTTAGGCAAACTTCTTAAATAAATAATATAAAAAAGTTATATATATAGCCAGTTATATTGTTATTTAAAAACTATTAATAAAGTCAAAAGACCAAAAAGATCATCTTAATACTAAAAAAAAAAATAACAATTTTTTTAAAAAATATAAAAATAAAACTTAAACTTATTGATAACTTATAACTAATTTAAAAATAAAATTATATTTATTTCTTAACTTTTATTACTTAATTTATGAAATTTATTTTTTTTTTCTTAAATATATGTTTTAAAAAAATTATATATTTTTTTAAATATATTTTAGTATAAACTTTTATGTTAGTAAATCTTTTAATATAGCATTTCTTCTTAATTTATTTATAAAAATTTTACAAATAGTTATTTTATTAACTTTATTTATATATATTTGTAAAACTTTCGTATATAAATAAATTATAAAAAGTTTATTATTAAATATTTTGTAATAAAAATATTAAACAAACTTTAAATAAAGTTTGTAATATATACAAGGTTTTCTTCAATCTATTCTAACTAAAAAATAATTTAAAATAATTATCTATAGCATTTATTAAAAAATAAAAAATATAATATTATATTAGATATCTATTTTAGCAATACAAATATAATTTAAAAATCATTATTTTAAAAATTTTTCTTTTTGTAATGTAATAACTTAATGAAATAAATAAGTTGTCAACTTCCAAGTAGTAGATTGTAAGTTCAAAACACATTAATACCAAAAATTTAAATAATTACCTATGTAATCATAAACAGTATTATAATAATAATATTCTGTTGATTAGTTAATATCAGATATCTGTAACTATAATCATATTAGCATAACTAACAAGTTATGAAATATCTATATAACTAGTTATACAAAGAAATACAAACTAATAATAAGTAATATAAACCTAAGATAAATCTTTGTAGTTATGTAAATTTATAGAACTGAGAAGCTAAAGCCTACTTAAAAAAATCCAAATAAAGAAATAATACAAATCTTTAATAATATTATTGTAAAGACTAGATCTAGAAAATAAATATCAATATAAAGAAATTAATTAAGCAAGAATCTCAAATAAGAGTACTAACAACCAGTTTGTCAAAAAACTTAAATCAAAAAATAAGAATATTATATATTGTAATCTTAGTATACTAAGAACAGGTCACAGTCTTTTCAGACTATCTAAATTAAAAATCTAATGACAAAAACAAGAATATATTATAAATACTAGAGATATGCTATAAAATAAGTACTAGAATTTAAGTAAACTTTGTAAAGATAAACTCTGTTAATAAGAACTAAATATGAATAGTTAGTTAACAAAAGACCTCTTAAAGCCTTATAGTTAGATAACATATTCTAAAATATATAATAGCTTAATAAATATCCAAATAAAAAAACTAGAATTAAGTTAAATAATACTTAAATATACAAGAACTTGTATATTATCTGTTAAATATAGTATAAAGATTAAAGTGTTTAATTAGGTAATCTTTTAGCAAATTACAGATATGACAGCTAATATAAAATCTTTAAACAGGTTACTTAAATAAATAGTCAAAAACTGTATATATGACTAGTTGCACACTTATCTTGTACAAGTTATACAACTATAATTAAATTACAATAAGTTAGTAACTACTGATAATTAACAACTTTAATAAAAATAAAAAAAAATTTCTTTTATAATTAAATTTCTATTTTGTAATTAAAGTTTCTACTACATTATCAAATTTTTAAATCATAATAATTTCAAAAAAATTATGTTTAATATGAAATATTGTGAAAGAATTTAAAAACTTGTACTAATTTCTGAATTTTATTAACAAACATTGTAATATTGCAATAATAAAAAATGATCAGCAAGTTATTCTGGTCATAATGGCAATTAAATTATCAAATTTGTATAAGTATTTGCTAAGCTAGTTTAACACAATTCTTTCAAAATATTATGAATATTTTATAACTATTTCAAAAATTTGCAATATTTTGAAAGAATTGCATTTGAACTATCTTAGTAAATACTTATCTAAATTTGATAATTTAATTGCCATTATGACCAGAATAACTTGCTAATCATTTTTTATTATTACAATATTGCAAAGTTTGTTAATCAAATTCAAAAATTGGTGCAGGTTTTTAAATTCTTTTGCAATATTTCATGTCAAACAATTCTTTTGAAATTATTGTGGTTTAAAAATTTAGTAATATATGACATTATATAAATAAAAAAAAATTTATAATATAAACAATAATTATTTATAAAATTTAAGATTTTCTAAAAAAAAAAAATTTCTATTAATGAATAAAACAATAAAATCTATTTTATTAATACTAATAGAATTTTCTATTACTAACTGAAAAATTTTTTAATAAAATCAATAGAACAATATATTCTATTAATTATTTAATTTTTATTCAATGAATCAATAGAATGACAATACTAGTTATAATGTTTTGAAAATAAACGATTTTTATAATAAATCACCATAATAAATTTTTTTCAAAATTATGCCAAAACTTTGTAAATCACGGTCATTAGTCAATCAAAATCGAACATCTGTCAATCCTGAACTACGAATCAGATATCAAGATTAGGTATAACGTCAAAACAAACGTTCGTTCGTTTTACCAAAAATCGCTTATAACTCAAAAATCAGCATAAGAAACCACTTTTTGTAATTTGACAAAAAGTTTCGTTGGACAATTTACTACATAAATTACTTCACCCTAGTGTTGTTAGTTGAAATTATTTAGGCATTTAGACAAATTGAATTTAGGCAATTTTGACTTGACTGCTTTTTTAAAAATTACTACTAAAAAACAAATAAAACTTAATTTAGACATTTGGATAAAATTAATTTAGACAAATTTTGACATTGGCAAAAAACAATTTTAACTAACAACATTACTCCACCCTAACCTTTACGAATTTTAAGAATGTTGTCTGCGCCACAAACCTGGTACGCATTTTCCGATTGCAATTCTGAATAAGCTTTTTTTTGACCGATTATGACTGATTATCGATTTTGACAGGAAGGATTAACCGTATTTTTAATGTTAAATTTTAGTTACTGCCCGGTTAGGTTATTAAGACGATTTCTCTTAATTAGGCTTAGCCAATTTTATTGAAGTATTTAGACCGATAATGTGACATGTTCGTCTTTTTTCAATATTTCAGAATAAGGGTCTAAAGCAATGTTTACATATTCTTTTATAAATTTATCAACTTGCTGTTGTGCTCGGCCTATAAATGTAGATGGATCAAGTAAAGAATCAATCTATAAAAATTAAGAATAAAATAAACCTAATTATTAAATTAGTCCAAACTTCAAATAAATATAAAATGGATTTATTGCAGTATAAGCAATATTTCCAAATGTCATATTATTCATTACATATAGTACAAAGTTAGTTAATAAGGTATAAATCAATTTGGTAATAGTGGTAACACAGGGCTGACATTTAAAGGGTACCGTTATACTGCAAAAGATTCATAAATATCATACCTCATCATGAATACACTTAAAATATTCTGTTTTCTTAATCCTCTCGATCAAATCATTCCCCTTTCCTTCTTTAACAACTTTAGCTGCTTGATGGCTTAAAACTCGAATCATCTCATGGCATTCTTGCCTATCACCACCCTTTTTAGTAACTGCCATAATTATATTTTCCGTGGCCATAAATGGAAGTTCTTGTGATATATGATGTTGAATCATTTTTGGATATACTACTAAACCTTCGAAAACGTTTTGAAGCAAGGAAAGTACTATGTCAGATGTCAAAAATGCTTCAGGAAGAGAAATTCGGCGGTTGGCGCTATATATATATATATATTAAGACGGCATAATTCAAAAAAAAAACAAAATAAATTAAAATTAAAATTAAATAGAAGGGATACATTCACACATTCATTTAAAACAAACCTATCATCTAAAGTTCTTTCAAACCATTGCACACTATTAGTCATTAAAGCGTCTTGCGCCAAAACCATTAAATGCCTACTTAAACTACAAACCCTTTCACATCTCATAGGATTTCGTTTATATGCCATTGCACTGCTGCCAATTTGGTCTTTTTCGAATGGTTCTTCGATTTCTTTAAGATTAGCTAATAGCCGAATATCAGTTGCAATTTTGTGTGCTGTAGCGCCAAAAGAACTTAAAGGGTTTAAAATATCAATGTCAATTTTACGAGAGTATGTTTGGCCCGTTACGGGATAAAGTGTCTCAAAACCAGAAAGCTCGCAGACGCGTGCATCTAAGGCTTCCACCTAGATAGATAATAATTGTAAGTGTTTGAAGATACATTATATACAATCAAATGAAATATGGAGGGGACGAACTTTATCGTGATCGCCATCAAACAAAGATAAAAATGAAGCCTGAGTACCGGTTGTACCCTTAACACCACGAAATCCAATATCATTTCTAGCTCTTGTTATATTTCTCAAATCCCATAACAGATCCTGCATAATTTATAAAGTTAATAAGAATAAATATTATAGACATAACACTTGTCACATATGATGCTGAGATCGGCCGTTAATAATTCAAATACTAAATCCTAACCTAGTCTGAAAAAAAAACAATAACGAAAGAATGTGCCAAAAAATTTTTTAAATTTTATTAAATAGGTTCAATTCTCAGTACCAGCTGTGACAAAATATTGTGGCGGACTAAAATGAAATTAGATTAAAATGAAATTTTGTGTAAATAGACAAGCCGCCGGAAAAATACAAATTTTGGAATACATTTTTTTAGCTTTTTTTTAAGATTAAGGGTCAGCTTTAGTGGTAGAATGTATAGTACAATCCACTCTCGTTATAGTGAAGTGATCCGTTCCATTAATAAAAATTTTAAAAATTCACTAAATCGAAAGATTTTATATGGACTGGCATTGAGCTTAACTTCACTATATCGAGGTTTTAATTAGTCTTCACTATATTGAGAGTTCACCATAACGAGAGTTGTAAACAAGTATAACTGGGTTTTAGGAGGTTAAATAGAAACTCCCAATTTCATTTTAACCCGATTTCATTATGATTCGCGACAATTATTATATTTTTTTAAAAAAATAACATCACTTACCTGGATCCAAAGTGTAGCTCGCTTTCCAACGGTAGTCAATTGAGCCGGTTGAAAATGAGTAAATCCCAAAGTTGGTAAACTTTTATATTCATCAGCAAACCTACTGAGTCGATGGATAACCCTAGCCAATTTGTCCAATAATAAATCAAGACCTTTACGAAGAATTATTAGATCACCGTTATCCGTCACATAACAACTTGTGGCACCTAAGTGAATGATACCAGCAGCTTTTGGAGCTACTTGACCAAATGCGTGCACGTGAGCCATTACATCATGACGGCGTTTTTTTTCTTCGAGTTCCGCTATTTCAAAGTCTTCTTTTGTTAAGGTCTAATTTCAAATAAAAATGATTGATATACATATATATGTTTAAAAAAAATTTGTACATGTGCATATCACTTAATTCTATAAATTTTAATACCAAATGAGCTTCCATTTCTTTAATAGCTTCATCAGTTATACTTCTAATTCCTAATTCTTTTTCTGCTTTGGCTAAATTTAGCCACAATTGTCTCCAAGTATGAAACCGATTTGCTGGTGAAAAAAGAGCAGCCATTTCTGGAGAAGCGTATCTTGAAGTTAAGGGACTTTCATATTTATCATGTATACCAGTTGACATTTTTATTGTTAAGAACGAATATACGAATTATTGAAAAAAAAACTTCGACTGTTGACTAGATTTTTTTTTTTGATTAGATTATCTTTTTGTTATCCAACCACGTGATTTCGTGGCACTATTTTTTACAGTACGTGCGATAATTTACATCAAACTTTTTTAAATTCGCAGAATTTGTTAAGGTTAGTATACTGTCTGTTAGTGCTTGTTTGTGAAATGAATTTGATTTATGATGATAAAAGTTTATTTGCACGTCAGTCAGAACTCAAACGTGTTGACAAAAATCTATACCCAAATTTCTGAATATTTTACTATAAAGGAGCATTACATTTTATTAATATAAAGCTCAAAGTATTTATTTAAATCTGTTTAAATTGTATTTAGGCTATGGATAATTTATGTGAATTATAACACTGTATAATATTGAATTGGTGAGAATTTTAATTTTACAATACTTACATTTCCAAATGTTCACATAACTGATGCAAATTTATTTAAAGAGAGAAAGCACGAATGATAAAATAGATTATTTGCCTTACTCTTCAGTTTTGAACATACCTTTGACAATATCAAGTGTATTTCTAAAGTTTTGAGAGTTTTCATTGTCTGTGGTATTAAAAGCTCTATGAGACATATGAAATATAAAGTTATCATTGTCTTACAGATTAAATATTACCTTGACTTTCAGATTGTAAATTCTTATCAAGTTTGCTACTGAGAAACTCCGACTTTCTTTGTAATGTACTTAATAATTTTGGTACTGTAATTGAATTTGTTAGACACTCTTTAAATAATAATAATAAGAATGCACTAAAGTTATATTTACATAATATCCTCATTTTGTTAATTTCATTGACAATAGGCGCATTTTTGGCAACTAAATTTTGTTGTATAGTTGACTTATTTAATGGCGTCAGATTATCGCGAAGATTCTAGTGTAATATTTGCAAGTTGTTTTTTAACATATGATGTCTAAAATAATAACGATGATATACAATTTGCTTACCTTATAATATTCACATTTCTCCTTCATTATAATATAATTTTGTTGAATTTTGTATACACGTGTTCGCAAATCAGCATATCTGAGAATAAAAATGTCAGTGAATTAAAAAAATGGAAAATTTTTATTAACGATTTTATGCGAACTTGTCTAGATCTTCTTGATCGTAATCCAAATTTCCAAGTTGTGGCCATTCTTCGGGGAATGATTCAATCCACCTGATTAAAAAAAAGAAGTAAGAAAGCGGTCGATATAAAAATCACTTTCTAATATTTTTTGGGAATTACTTGATATTGTTATAATCTTTTTTCTCAACGCTGATGTGCCCTTCTAAAGCGTCTTTACATTTTTGCTCATAGATAAATTGTAGTTGTTCGAGTATTTGACGTATCGATTGACGATTGAATATTTGCACATGATGTTTTCTATTGCTCTGATTCACTTAAAATATAATTAATCAACGCGTCAAATTTAAAGAAATTCAATACAATTAATTATTTCATTTTATCTACATTTGCTTAAAACAGTGTCAACAGTAGCCAAGGGAATTCGTTCTTCCGTTGGTGATTTGGTAACTTTTGATATCCAAGCTTCTGAAGGGGTGATGAATTCTTGTTCAAGCAAACGAATTTGTGACTCTATAAATGCTTGTCTATGATTATAATAATTTTCCATTCGTGCTATTGAATCAAAAAAAGACGCGCTGAAATATGTTGAAAATAGCGTGATAGAAATTTGATCATCAGATTTAATATGATTGGTTGATATATTGTGTATAAAAAGGGTATCAAGCAAATTGCTTTTAGTAAACTTCGAATTAAAATACCTTAAGGGTAGGGTGTACGTAGATCATTTTTCATATGACCTAGATGGTATAATGGATTTTTATATAGTAAATTAAAAT